TAGCCAGAATATAATAATAATGTTTGAGTACTTTTATATATGAAAAAATATTCCGAATTTGGGGTCCTTTTCTTTGACATTAGCCAAAAACAACCTTAACTGCGCATACGCAAAAGCTCTTAATTTTGTAGCCAATAATATAGGGCAGTTTATGTATCAAATGAAGTTGAATATCGTAAGCATTCAAAACGAAAAATATATTGGTGATATATTGGCGCTATATATTTTGACTCCTCTTTAAAAATAGACTGATGATGTGGGATTTTACACAAATTGATATTTTTAATCAAAAATCACACCAGAGGATGATTAAAAACTGAATTTCATAACATTTACTAGGACACTAATTATGCATTTTTAATTATAAGTTAGGCAAATTACATGACTCAAATTGCATCAAATTACAAATCATACAAAACGTATTAAGAATTGTGAAATTAAAATATTTCTTTATATCAATGGCAAAATCAAACCTGAATCGAAAAAAAAAGCAAAGGAATATAATTTTTATATACTCTTGTAATGTTTCTAAAGCATTCAAATAAAAAACATATCTTCCAAACCTCATAAATTTGGCTAACTCTGAAGTATCATGGGCGGCTCTAGGACCAGACAAACCGGACCCCTGCTCGGGGCGGCATTTGGATCAAATTTGGAAAATATTTTTTTATGTTACAAAAAATGTGATATATTTTCTGAAACATTATTGGATATTTCCTGAAATATTATTAAATGTCAATTCGGTATTACATTTAACGTATCTTATTTCCTTATTTTGTACTCTATACGTTTAATGTCAGTTTTCTTTTACATTGAAACTTGGGCTCGAAGCGGGAATACATGTTAAATTATGAACGTTGATATGTTTACATAACTTTCACTAGTAACTTTCTCCCCATCCAGGAGAACGGACATTCCCTTACACGGATAGACAACACAACGGACATTTTTTCCACCCATACAATGTCTGGTGCCATCTTTTCAAAAGGGGACAAGTGCAATAAGAACTATTAGTAGATAGAGAACCACAGGAGATAATTTATTATACTCATGTGTGAGTATAGTTATTATAAGTTAAATTAAAAGCGCTTGTGATCCCCACCATCAGTCTATTCTTTTTCGAAAAAATTGGCATGCAGAAACGGGCTATTTCTTTTCTTACATTTTACTCGTTTGTAATCATAATAGAAGCACAGCTATCGCCGTATCAATGATACGGGGCCCCAAAATGTGTAAGCAAAACATCGTAATATCTAAGGTTCCTCTTTCAGTGTGGTAAAGTAAAGTGTTTCAAAAACTCTAGTTGAGCTTCTGAACAGAGGTCTGAGCTATATACAGGCAAAATATTATTCTAATAGAGGCATTTTTCACAAAAGGAGTTCGAATAACAGCCAGAGATGGAGATAGAATATATGTTTATATTACAAGAAAATAAATATTTACAGTTAAAGTTTACACTAAAAGAGGTAGTAATGCGGTTAAATGAAAATTACACCTTTGAAGGTGCTGCGGATTGATGCGGACAAGACCTTGCGTCTGTCCGTTGCGTTTCCAGTTTACAGAATTGTCCCGGTACGGGGTTCAAAAGTTTTCATTGGGGTAGGTAAGCGGGAAAATATCGCGCTCAGTCACAGTTAAGTGAGAGGAGTGTAGGAAACAGGAGAACATTTTGAAAAAAGATTATTCTAAGTTAATTTTTTGCCAAAATATTATATTTAAATATTTTTTTTTGTCAAAATGTCCTTAAAACAGTTTTATGCATGTATTCTGATCTGAGTGACACTAAATATCATGAAAATTATTCATTTATGCACTTTTGCAAATCACGGTTCCGAACGTAGTCGGATACCTTAATTAAATAAGTGACTAGATAATGCTACTTTCTAACCACAGATCCAGATTATTGTTCGTTCTAATACTGGAGATATAGTTTACAAGTTTGTGCGTACATTTAGAATATTAATAAATTGTACGTATATTATTTAATGTAACCAATCTAATTATTTACAGTTAAAAATGCTAGTTTGGAAAACCTTATGTCATCTAACAACTGTAAAAGAGCAACAAAACACCATTCAGTTTACTGTCGATATATTTCTGTATTTTCACGACATTCAACTAGATTGTTCTATAGAAGTCCTGTATTATACACAACAAAATTATGAAAGAAAATATTGATATTTTTAATGCATGTACCGAAAGAAATCCTTTTATTTCATTACTTGTATCTTATTGAGTATTTCAATGCCTTCTTTTCAAATTATGCTGTTGTCGCAGTAACCTAGAGGCCGGTCACGGACTCATAGCCGATGTGTCATGAGTGGGAATCCAGTGCCACTGAAGACTCGCCGTGTAAAGAGGATGATAAACACAGGGGCATCTTAGGACTTCTTGAGGCCCTGGGCCCTATGCAAAATTAGGCCCCACCTGTGTACCTTAAAAGAAGACATTATGTAGTATACGTTGTTAAGTACTTGTACAAACGGCAACCCGAAGCAAATAAATGTTCATGACTGACAATCTTGCAAACCTAGGTACAAACCGATTTGATTGATTGCCGAATAATAAATGAGTAAGGATGGTGTACGGTGGTAAGCCTAGGACTAAACATGTGGACGACGGTCATTACATATTAATCCAGTCCTGTCATTGTTGTCAGTTGTCAAAAATCCCACTTTTTTTTTGAGAATATGTTTAGGAATAACATTTGAGGATTAAAAATATTCGGATCACACATACATGATCTTATTGATACTCAGTCGAGAACAAGACGAGACCTCTAACCAAAGTCGAGGCCCTGGGCCTAGTTGGCCTATCTCTTAAGGCGTCCCTGAATGCACATTTAATTTTTCCAAGTCCTCACGTAGGCATGGTCTGGAAGTTTAGGCAATGGGGTGGCACAGCTCAGACGTCGTTCTCGTCACTCGACCATGGTTTAAAGTTACGAGAACTTGACAGATAACTTTAGTGTACCTTCTGAGTGAGACGTTAATAAACAACAAATCAATTATAATTTCAGTAATGTACGTTTCTTGTGCGCTGTCAATATCTCAGTAAGTTTCGTAAACTTTAAATGCTAAAATTCTGAATATTATAAGAAAAAGCATCTGGAAAACTAAATTTTTCTTAAAGAAACGTTTAACACCATTCAAGAACATAGTTGTTACTTTTACAAAATGCATAGAAACTTTGCAAATAGCTAGTTAAATATTTTGTGGAAGACGCGATTTGACATAGAATTTTTCATAAAACATTGTTTCTCCCTCTCTCAACTCTCTAAGCCATTGATTCCCAAAGTGGTCTATATCGATCCCCAGGGGTCTATGATGACCTGCAAGGGGTCCACGCCAGCGAAGAAATAATTTGGGGGTCCATAAGGTGTAATTGGGGGTCTATGTGTGTGTGTGTGTGATAGTGGCTCTCATTAAACCTCTCTGTGATCGCAACTTTAATTTTTTTTTTAATTTAATCTAGTGGAAACTAGATTTTTGTAATTTAACTGATTTATTTACTAAATTTAGTGTTAATTTTCAGTTACAAGAGAGATGTTAGCATGTATTTCATTAAGACAAGGACCATCATTTCAGCGTTTCTTGTCAGAATTCAGATAAAGTAGCATAATATATTGGACGTCATGAATTTTCCCAGTTTCTCAATTTCTCGTAGACAATCTGGCAGGATGTTTTAATCCACGTTCAACATTTAAATGCTCTTTATTCAGATTTTGAAACTAGGTTTGAGAATGCTTTGAATATGGTCTCGAACAGCCTTTGCAACATGTGGGCATGCATTATCCTGTTGAAAGATAGCTCCAAGAATGCCTTGAAGGAAGAGAACGACTTCAGGCTGCAGCACTTCACGCACACACCTGTTGCTATTGATATTACCACCAATTCGTAGCAAATTGGATCATCCCTGATACGAAATCGCACCCCAAACCATAACTCCGGGTGTTAATGCCCCTATATCGTTCGATAACGCACTCTGGAAGGCAGCGTTCACCGGCAGAGCGTCTAACACACGAATGCGGCCATCATGGTTCCACAAATTGAAGCGTGATTCATAAAAAAAAAAAACAATTTGGTGCCAATCAGCTTGTCAGGCTCTGTGCTGATGAGTCCATTGAAGACACAGCTGTCGATGGTTTGCCGTGAGGGGGATCCTGTATAATGGCACCCTTGCACGCAATCCACGGTGCAGCAGCCGTCGACGAATTGACGAATTTGACATTAGTACACCTGTAGCAGTAGACCAACGTGCTGCCAACTACCTGGAAGAAGCTCTACGGTCATTCATCACCATGCGGAGCGGGTGTCAATCGTCGCGCGCTGACGTCATCTTCCGTCGTCCACTGCCAGTTTTTCGAGTTGTTCGATGCTCGTTGGTCCACTGTTTCCAAACTCGCATCACTGTGGAACTGTTCCACTACACACGAGCTCCTATTGCATGATAGGAAAATCTTCCTTCTCGAAGGCCGATAATCTTCCCCGTTCAAACTCCTTAAGTTATTGGAATTTCTCCTTATTTCGTCGTGGAGGCATACTTAGGTCTCACTAAACGCTCGCCACTAACAAATAATCATTAGCTATTTTCAATGTCCCGCTACAGCCCTCTATTTATACGCTTTCAGCATCAGTTCAAAGGGCGCTGCGCACGCTACACAGGCGTGGTGGCTCTGGAACTTTAGTATTTTACGTAATATCCTATAATTGATATTTGCTGCAAAGTTCATTTAATTCTGATGATTCCTTCATGGTGTTGCATTTTTACAAACAACAGTGTATATATCTTGTTCAAATTTTCAGCCGTTAATAAAATATATACTTTCTATTCATCCACTTAAGTTCAAATACATTGTTTTAAAACTTGTAGTGAATGACACTTGATGTTAATACAGTTTTTACAAATATTAATTCATGAATTCTATTTAATTAATGAATAAATAGTAAAAAACAAAAATAATAGTCCGACACCAAAAAAAGAGGAAAATCGCTCGTCGTGTCCCTGTAGCGCAATGGATAGCGCGTTGGACTTCTAATCCAAAGGTCGTGGGCTCCCATCCCACCTGGGATGGCCTAATTTCAGAGAATGAAATTTCGTTTTACTATATTATTTTATTGGAAAAATTAAATTTAATTAATGGATAAATAGTAACAAAAAATAATAATAGTCCATCACCATACATAGAAAGGAAAATGAAAAATTGCAAGGAAAATCGTTTTCTATTTTGCCATTTAATGTTGTGATCCTGTCATACGTGTATACATATTTATATTAATTGTAATCATTTAATAAAAAGTAACTAAAATAAATTTTTTCTTTGTTGACCTAAGTAGGAAAATTGACTTAATTTTTTTTATATTACTTGTTCTTGACCAAAATTAAAACAATACCAAATTTGAAGCGTTTTGAAGTTCTGGTAACCATACATTCATAAATATTAATTTCTTATTATAACTTTTATTTGTGCTTTTTATAGAAAAAAAAACTTGACATTGAGTCAAATAAATACATAATATAAACAGACTACAAGTCTTATTTTATTCATTTTTTGAACATTAAAAGCATGCGGCCCCCAACTTAATATAAAATAGATCATGTTGCCTGTCTTTTCATATGAGTTTGACATGCCTGTTCTATGGGAATGATGGGTACTAATATGCCCATGAAAATATCACCCACACTTTATTGTTAACACCACCACCTTGCATTCAGTGAACTTTACCTCCAGGTAGCATGATTCCATTTTAAATCAATGTATTTGCACTCACCCGCGTGAATGGTATTGACCAGAAAAAGTACTTCTTTGAATACCCAGCCTTATGAACATAATGATGGGGGACAAATAATAACTAACACAAGGCACTGGTTCTTGATCTTAGGGCCGCGGTAGCCGAGTGGTATAGGTATCGGATCGTGGCTTGCCTTGTCACGAGTTCGAGCCCAGTACCACTAAAGACCCGCCGTGTAGGGCAGCGATGCACGTTAAGTATGTCGAGAGCTGAAACGTCCTCCCGTTGGTGTGGTAGTTAGGAGAGGGGGTGCCAGCTCAGGTGTCGTCCACGTCACTTGACCATGGTTCAAAATTACGTGGTCCGTCGCCCAAAGCCCTCGTGTAGCTAAACAGTGCGACGTTAATATTCAATCAATCAATCAATGGTTCTTGATCTCTCTCTCCATGTGTTCTAATCCAGTGATACTCTACCTGCGGTCCTCCGAGCCTTTTTAAGTGGCCCGGGCATGGCTCTGAGAAATTTACTTCTTTTAGAACATTGCATTAAAAATTTGTTGGGAAACTCCTTGTCAAGAAATCAAATATATCAAGTTTGCTGTCGGTGTCGTACGGGTACGAATTGGTATTCGGTTTTTAATTGGAACGGTTACAGTTAGTGATAACAGACAACAGTGGGTGAGTGAATGAGTTAATATTAACGTCGCACTGTTCAGCTACACGAGGGCTTTTGGCGACGGACCACGTAATTTTGAACCATGGTCAAGTGACGTGGACGACACCTGAGCTGGCACCCCCCTCTCCTAACTACCGGACCACACCAACGGGAAGACGTTTCAGCTCTCGACATACTTAACGTGCATCGCTGCCCTACACGGCGGGTCTTTAGTGGTACTGGGATCGAACTCATGACATGCCTGCCATGGTTGGATACCTTAACCACTGGGCTACCGCAGCCCCCAGACAACAGTGGAATAGCTTTAATTTTATGGGTGGAACTAATTTTTAACTATCTTTCGTATCCTGCAAGCGAAAAATATTTAAAAAATAATAATAAATCGTTTCAAGACGATTGGGAGGTTGACTATTTTGTAGTGAAAAACAAACATGGATGTTTGATTTGTCATGAAAGTGCTGTTTTTAAAAAATACGAATAAACAGGAATCATTCAATGACACTTTTTCTCGAAGATCTTTTTCAAGAGGTGATAAATAGGTTTTCTTGAGTAATCTTTGCAACAGCAACAAAGTGTCTTGTCAGTGGTAATTTCACAGCGGTACCAAAGACATCCTAGAAAGTTTGTTACATTCTTGGTAATCATATGATACCGCGTTTATTGATGCAGAAATTGGGGAGGAGTGTTTCTTAAATGCTTTTAATTTAGTGACAAAAATCAAAAATAATTAAAAAAACTAAAACAGGAGCTATAAATTTGGATCATTTTTCCACATTAAATTTCTAATGTTATCTTGGTCTTAAATTATTTCTCCTCCCCCATTTATCCGCATGCTGCGACCCCCGCGTGAAATAACTAACACATGTATGCGGCCCGCGGGAAATAGCTGACATATGTAAGAGGCCCAGCAGAAAAAAAAAGTAGAGTACCCCTGATCTAATCTTTCACATTCCTCCATAAAATTGGAATAAAGTTTTTGTATGTGTGTGTGTGTTTTGGCTATCTTTTTCTACAATGTTAAGAAGACACGGTACGACTCAATTGACAAAAATCGGTCAAAAAATCAAATCTAATTTTTTTAAGCCTAAATTATTCTTTATATAAATTTCTTTAACCTCACAAAATTTGAAAGCTCTAAACTTAAAAAAACGCAGAATTATTATAGCTTTTATGTTGGTTTTTATTCACATTCCTATGGCAAATCAAAACTTTAAACGGACTTATCTCAGAAAGATAAAATAACTAGTTTGTTTTCATTTAAAATGCTAAGGCTTTTTTTCTATTATGCCTAATGCTTTGAATTTTTTTTACCTATTGCTAATAGTATATGTAACAAAAGTTGGTATGCATTTTTGAATCAAAGCAATACTTATTTTTTTAAAAATAATTCAACTCATAATTTAGACTTTTTAAAGGAATTTTCAATAAGCATTCATAAAAAGAAGTATTGTACAAATACCAATCATGTTATCGTAAAACCCATACCAACTTTTGTTATACGTGGTTTGATGTACTTGTAAATCAAATTTCATGCGTGTATGTAAATTTTTGTAGAGAAGAAGTAGCATTTTAAAATCACTTCACAAATTTTAAGTTTTCTCCTTAAAAAAATTAAATGGCTAGCTTTTTATGAAATTTTGAGCATAAAATCTGTTTTACATAGTATACGCACATCAGAGGCAACCAAAAATTTTTGAAAGTCCTTAAATTAAAAATTTTAGTGTAAATCGTACCGTGTCACTCCATATAACTGAATCACTCAGTTTATATGGTCTCCCTTTCATTAGTATTTCTACAATGTATCCATCTTCAAAATTAGGTTTGTGTGTCAACTGTTCTTCACAAACTATAGCTTCGTCGTTTAGGGAGCTACCATTATCACTAACATGTTCAACTTTCCACAACTTTTCTGTTTAATACTCACTGCTAGGATAACGAAAAACCGTATTGTTTGAAAAATTAAATTTTCCTGGCGATATTTTCCTGATCTTTAATTGGAAAAAGAGCTACACGTCATTTAATGGCATTTTTATTGGACTAACAAGAATCAGCTAATTTTATTTCAGGTGCAAGTTTCAGACATTGTAATTTTTACTTTGTGTGTTAGAATCCAATTCGTTATTTTTGGAGTAACTAAAATTTCAACTCTTGTGGTATAAAATTCGTTCATAGTTGAAGTATTTGTCCTCCCTTTTTAATGTAATTCTGTAGAACTACCATTCAACCCTGCAATACTGACTGCAGTGGCGCACAAAGGAATCTTTCAGGACGAGGGGTCCAGGGTCGAAAGTACACCATTCTCATACCATGCTGCAATACGCCGCCCAACATAATCTTTTGATTTTGTCGAATTTCGGGAACAAGAAACAGTAAAAAATTAATTATTGAATAAATAATTAGCATTAATTAATAAAATTGATTATTAATAACAAATACTTAATTAAATTTTACGCAATATATATACAGAGGATTATAGTCGATTTGAAAAAAACCCAAGGGCTTTTGGGTGGGGGTCTCAACTCAGGACCTCTCCCTCCCCCCCTTGTATGCGCCACTGACTCACTGTAATAGTTATAATTTTCTAGAATCGTAATTTATCTGAAATTTCAGTTTAAAAGAATGGTGACATCGAACCTTTATTTAACAGACTAGGGCGTTAAACAGACGTTAAATCTGTCGAGAGCTGAAACGTCCTCCCGTTGGTGTGGTATTTAGGAGAGGGGGTGCCAGCTCACAGGTGTCATCCACGTCTCTTGATCATGGTTCAAAATTACTTGGTCCGTCGCCAAAAGCCCTCGTGTAGCTGAACAGTGCGATGTTAATATTCAATCAATCAATCAACAGACACTTTTCTTTTATGTTGAAAGGTTCCTTGAAGGGTTCGAGGATGGAGTATATGTGAAAGCATGAAATTTAATATGTTTACACATCCTTCACTAGTAACTTTCTCCCCATCTCGGAGTGAGGTCACAACGAACATTTCTTTTACCTTTACGATGTCCGGTTTCAGCTATCCAAAAGGGGACAAGGATAATAAGAGGTTTTAATAGATAGAGAGCGACTCAAGATGTTTTTATTTTAGTCTTGGATGTAGTTACTAAAAGTTAAAAAGTTAAAACAAACGCTTGTGATCCCCACCATTATTAGACTAATTTTCGAAGACATTGGCTTGCTTTAATAGACGATTCCTTCTCCTTCATTTCACTTGTTTGAAATAATAACAAGTAATTATGTTCTTAATTTCAAATTATTTTGAATTTTTTAAGACTTAATATACACACATATACATATATATATATATATATATAGAGAGAGAGAGAGAGAGGGGTGGCATTTACCATTTTTGTCCGGGGCGGCAAAACTTCTAGATCCGGCCCTGTCCATACATTTGTTTACAATATAGCGTTGTTAAAATTTCCAAAATATTCCATAAATAATTAATTTTTCCTCTTAACATGTAAAAGGATATCTCATTTAGCATTACGGTATAGGAGAAGAAAAGGCGAAACTCATTTTAGACCAGAAAATATGTATCAAATCGAATAAAAATGAGTGGTATGATAGCAGTGTTCCCCAACCTTTTTACCGCCGCGGACCAGTCAACGTTGGATAATTTTACCGCGGTTTGATGAGGGGGAGGACGTTGATTGTTTATATTTTAATTTG